TTCTGTCTGCTTTGAGCCATTTTTAATCTTTCCCGAATAATTTTCACCTTTTCCGTTGTTAATCGCACAATTTCAGGCCCTAGCAAAGAGCTATCCCCAACCTCAGTCCAACATACTGGGGAACGACACGGTCTCCCATATAAAGCTTCATAAGGTGCCATCTCAATACTCGAATGGTAACTATTGTTGTATGCAAATTCTACCAACGGTAGATGGGTTTCTCAACTGTCTTGAAAATCTAGCACACACATTCGGAGCATATCTTCTAAAGTTTGTGTCGTTCTCTCGGATTGACCGTCGGTCTGAGGGTGAAAAGCTGTGCTGAATTTAAGTTCTGTACCCATAGCTTCCTGCAGACTTTGCCAAAATCTTGAAACAAATTTGGGATCCCTATCCGACACAATTGAAACCGGAATGCCGTGAAGCCTTATAATTTCATTCGCATAAAGTACTGCAAGCTTATCCGCATTATACTGAGTCTTCACTGGTAAGAAGTGAGCAAACTTAGTTAACCGGTCTACAATGACCCATATCAAATTCATGCCTCGAGGAGTCCGTGGTAACCCCACAACAAAATCCATGGTTAAATGTTCCCACTTCCATTCCGGGATTGGAAGGGGTTGTAATAATCCTGCTGGTCTTTGATGTTCCGTTTCTACTTGCTGACATTGTAAACACTTAGAAACGAATTCCGCGATCTCCTTTTTCATACTTGGCCACCAAAAATTTTGTCTCAAATCCCGGTACATTTTAGTACTTCCCGGATGTATTGAAAATCTTGAGGCATGTGCTTCTTCTATCAATTTCCGCTTAAGTTCCAACACATTAGGGACACATATTCTGTTTTGAAACTTGAGCACCGAATCCATTAAACTGAATCCCAGTTTTGGTTTTGTCTCTAACTCATCACATATCTTCCTTAAAGTATCATCCTCCATTTGATGCAACTTGATCTCTTCAAGTAAGGTCGGTTGAGCCATTACTGCTGCCATTATGACCTCCTGTCCACGTATCATATATTCCACATTCAGTTTATCTAACTCAATCACCAACTCCTTTTGTTCCGTAAATAAATTTGCCAAATCCCCCATATTTTTCCGACTAAGTGCATCTGCGACCGTGTTGGCTTTACCAGGATGGTAATGGATCTGCAAATCATAATCCTTAAGCAACTCCAACCATCGCCGCTGTCGCATATTCAACTCCTTCTGGGTAAAAAGATATTTGAGACTTTTGTGGTCGGTATAGACTTCACAGGTTGTACCATAGAGATAGTGCTGCCATAGCTTCAAAGCAAAAACTACTGCTGCTAGCTCAAGGTCGTGTGTGGGATAATTTTTCTCGTGGGGTTTCAATTGTCGAGAGGCATAAGCGATAACCCTTCCATTCTGCATAAGTACACAACCAAGCCCTTTATGCAAAGCATCACTGTAAATTACAAATCCTTCGGTACTAGATGGTAAGGCCAGAACTGGTGCTGTAGTCAACTTTGTTTTCAGATCTTGGAAAGTAGACTCCTGCTCTTCTGACCATTCAAATACAACTCCCTTTCGAGTCAATTGTGTAAGCGACACAGCGATTTTGGAGAAGTTCTGAACAAACCTCCTGTAATAGCCAGCTAATCCCATGAAACTACGCACCTCAGTGACATTGGTAGGAGTTGGCCAATTCACAATCGCCTCAATTTTATGCGGATCAACAGAGACTCCTTCCTTTGTTACTACATGCCCCAGAAATGCCACCTCTTGTAGCCAGAATTCACATTTCTTTAACTTTGCATATAATTTCTTCTCCTGGAGTGTTTGAAGGATTAGGCGAAGATGATCCTCGTGAGCCTCTACACTCTTTGAATATATAAGAATATCATCGATAAAGACCACCACAAACTCATCCAGGTAAGGTTTAAAGACGCGATTCATTAGATCCATAAATGTTGCCGGTGCGTTAGTAACTCCAAAAGGCATGACTAGAAATTCGTAATGGCTGTACCGGGTTCGAAAAGCTGTCTTCTCCACATCATCAACTTTGACCTTCAATTGATGGTATCCAGACCGTAGATCAATTTTTGAGAAAACTTGTGCCCCTTGTAGTTGGTCAAATAAATCGTCAATCCGTGGTAAGGGGTGCTTGTTTTTTATTGTTACCTTATTAAGTTCCCTATAGTCAATACATAGCCGAAGTGTTCCGTCCTTTTTTTTCACAAATAAAATTGGCGCACCCCAAGGAGATACACTCGGTCGGATGAATCCCTTATCAAGAAAATCTTGTAATTGAATCTTTAACTCTTTCATTTCAGTTGGGGACATCCTATACGACGTCTTAGAGATGGGTTGGGTTCCTGGCGCTACTTCAATTATAAACTCAATTTCGCGGTCTATCAACTGCCCTGGCAATTCTTCAGGAAAAACATCTAGAAATTCACGGACCACTGGAATCACATCAATACCCCCATTCATCACTTGTTCCTCCAAAACACTACATAAATACCCCTGACATCCTTTCTGCATTAACTTACAAGCCTTCATGGCAGAAATCAGATAAGGTGGCGAAGTCACTTCCCGCCCCTGAATAATAGACTCTGGTTGCCCCGGAGGATGGAAATTGATTTGCTTAGTCAAGCAGTTTATAGTCGCACCATAATCACTCAGCCAATCCATTCCCAAAATAACATCAAAAGAGGTCATGTCGAGAGATAACAGGTTAGCATACACCCGAATATCCCCAAGTTGAAGTTCACAAGCTACATATACCGAAGCACAGATCATAGAGTCTCCCAAAGGGGAAGACACACACAACATATAAGACAAGTTTTCTTCAGTTGTATCTAACTTAGGAGCGAATAGTTTCGACACAAAAGAGTGGGTGGAGCCAGAATCAAACAATACATGCACAGAATGACCATAAACAATAAATGTACCTGACACCACCGTCGCCGCATTTTGTACATCACCTGGAACCAATGCGAACACCCTACCTTGCCTTGTAATATCCTTACTATTAGTAGGTTTAGCAGTTGCCTTCGCGTTGGGGATTGGTGTAGACCCCGCGGAACTTGTAGCAGTCCTATTGCCCTTTTGTTGAGTCTATTGCGGGCAATCCCTTACCAGATGACCCGTTTTGCCACATTTAAAACAAGCTCCAGTCTTCCAGTGGCAAGTCCCTCGATGTTGCCTTCCACAATCTGGACACACCGGAGTGGAGTTGTGGGTAGGGGTGGTGATGCTGAAGTTCCCTGAATTCTGCTTCTTATTTGGTAGGGTAATTGATCCTTTTGACCATTGATTATTCTGCCTCTTCCCTTTCCACTCGGAAATTCGATTCTGAGCAGCAAGATTCCCTTCTGCTATAACGGCCCTTTCTAGCACATCGACATAAGTAGGTAGCTTTAACATATTGACCCGGTCTAGGATAACACCCCGTAAGCCCCCTTTAAATTTTCGTGCCTTCTTATAATCTGTATCCACCATATGAGGCGCAAACCGAGCTAGTTCTACAAATTGGGCTTCATATTCAGCAACAGTCTTGTTCCCTTGTCTGAGAGTTTCAAATTCAGTCACCTTCTTATCTTGCATGCTTTGGGGAAAATACTTGTCGTAGAACAATTCTAGAAATCTATCCCATGTTAATCCTGGGTGTATGGTCCTTGTGAGCATCCACCATCTCCGCGCCTCATCCTCAAGAGTGAAAGCAGCCAATTGCACTTTTTGAGCTTCTGTACAAGAGAAAACTTCGAATAGTTTCTCGATTCCCAACACCCATGCTTCAGCTTTCATTGGTTCTATGCCTCCTTTGAAGAATGGTGGTTTCATCTTTTTAAACTCCTTAGTAAGGGTGATGGTTCGGTCTTCAACATGAAAATCTGGTACTGCTGGCGGAGGTACCGGTAGTGGTGGCGGTTGTTCTAGTGGCTGTTGCTGCTGTTGTGGTTGTTGCTGTTGTTGTCGTAGGGTCTCCGCCATTTCCATAATCATTCTCTCTATCCTATCCAACTGTGCAGATGTAGCATCTTCCGCATATTCTGTCCTTGTTCTCATCATTTCCTACACAACAATCAATTATATACAAGAAACATAATTCAAAGTTGTTAGCATTACCAGAGTACACTTAACGTTGCCATCGCTCTTTCATATACTTTCAGGATGTCATGCAAGATGCCTAAAGCTTTTCTAGACACCCTAAGCTCAATAGATCCGTGTGTGAGATAACAACTTGTGCTCTGATACCACTTGTCACGCCCCTAACTCACCCCTAAAAGTTTGGGCATGACCTACGCAAAACTAGTCACTTAACCTGATATATATATATATACATAATTTAGGGGCCTGTATGGAGGCATTGATATCATAGGACAATTTATGAGAAAGTATGACTTCCATTGAGCTACTATTACCATGCCAAGATCACAGACGTAGTATAAAACGAATAGACATAAAGAGCTACATATGTGAGAGTTAGTTATAAACATATACATATACAGAACCTGCCCCATGGTTGGGCGTATAACAAAACATTATGTACATCTCAATCTAAGCCAATAACTAAGGTGCAAGTCATAACTTAACAAAATACCACCAAAAATGTAAGGCTTTGACCCAGTGCCTGGCCACGCTTAGGCTGACAAAAAGGTGATGATGCCGAGCTTAGGACCGACCTCCTGGTTGGTTACCTACAGAAATAGACATTACATAGAGTGAGCTAGGCTCAGTGAACAATAGTACTTAAATGCATCAGTTACTTAATTAAAAATGTAACACACATAAAAATATAGCAATACAGAAATCATGTAGTAGTCTGATTCCATTCGGGCAAACAGAACAATGTTGTCGGTTCACAACTTCATAGTTTGGCACTTGACCTGAAGAGTTCACACATTCACAGATTAGCCCTTGGCTTTTTAGTTTCAAAACTTAGATGCACAACTTCACAAATTGGCCCCCGGCCTCTGAGATTCATAGTTTCCCAAGTTACAAATTCTTACTTCACAAGTTGGCCCTCAGCCTCATCATTTCATATTTCACAATTGGCCCTTGGCCACATAGGTTCATAACTTTACAAACTCTTTTGATGTTCCCATAATTTCACAATGTTTCTCACATGGCATACATAACTTCACAACCTCTTTTGATGTTTCCATAATTTCACAATGTTTCTCACATGGCATACATAACTTCACAACCTCTTTTGATGTTTCCATAATTTCACAATGTTTCTCACATGGCATACATAACTTCACAACCTCTTTTGATGTTTCCATAATTTCACAATGTTTCTCACATGGCATACATAACTTCACAACCTCTTTTGATGTTTCCATAATTTCACAATGTTTCTCACATGGCATACATAACTTCACAACCTCTTTTGATGTTTCCATACTTGTGCTGGCCCAGATCCACCAATTTGTATGGTTTCGCTGGTAGGTAATGGTACATTTTGGTTTGCTAGTGGTCTCAAAGGAGCTTCGTACCATGACTGAGGCATAGGTGACATTCTCTCATGTTTTGATTACTAGATTGACCATTAGTTTGTCCACTATTTTACATAAGCTATTTGCCTCGAGCCAATCTATGTAGAAGAGAATTCTCATTCTCTTCAGCCTATCTTGCAATAGTTGGTTGATGAGAGTTCATTCGATCCAAAAAGGATGTTGCTTATCTTTCCATTGTATACATTAATTGCTATCCCATAACATCTACTAAACCTTCCCATGGATTTATTGGTTGGGTAGAAGGAACTGTTGAAGGTCCAGTTTCATAGCCCTGTCTAGTATGTTGGACATGTGTTGTGTATTCCGACGTGTTGGTCTGCTTAACCATTTGCAGAGGATCTGATGGAATAGGTGCATCCATCACATTATCCTCTGGGTTAGGTATTTCTACCTCTCCTTCCACACCCTCTTCTAGGCGTTCATTTTCTCCTCTGTCTAGCCATTTTTAATAGTCCCACTGGGCGTGCCAAAAATATATGTATGTTTTTTTGGCTTTCTAAGGTTAATAGTGTAAATTTAAGTGTGCCAGCAAGGATCAATCAGGCCTTACAGAATTTTTATTGCCAACCAATTATCAGACGATTGTGTTGAAATTCTTTCAGCCTTAATGAAAAGGACTTTTACCGTTGGTTTGTTTTAGGAGAAATTTATAAGAAATAATAAGTACAAAACAATTCAGAAACTAAATTTCATTGAGTAAATAGAAACTTAGAATGAAATGACCCAGCCTTGAAAAGGTTTACAGCAACGACTACTTGAGAACTACTCCTAGGAAATGAAGTGCAGTACAAGAATTTAAGTGCTAAAAATGTAAAGAACTGGAAATGTAAAAACTAGAAAGGAAAAAAGAAGTAAATAAACTGGTTTCTAAATCTAAGTCTGGGTCCTAGATTTTAGGGTCTTCTTGTCACGCCCCTAACTCGCCCCTAAAAGTTTGAGCATGACCTACGCAGAATTAGTCACTTAACCTGATATATATATATATATATATATATATACATAATTTAGGGGCCTGTATGGAAGCATTGATATCATAGGACAATTTATGAGAAAGTATGACTTCCATTGAGTTACTATTACCATGCCAGGATCACAGACGCAGTATAAAACGAATAGACATAAAGAGCTACATATGTGAGAGTTAGTTATAAACATATACATATACAGAACCTGCCCCATGGTTGGGCGTATAACAAAACATTATGTACATCTCAATCTAAGCCAATAACTAAGGTGCAAGTCATAACTTAACAAAATACCACCAAAAATGTAAGGCTTTGACCCAGTGCCTGGCGACGCTTAGGCTGACAAAAAGGTGATGATGCCGGGCTTAGGACCGACCTCCTGGTTGGTTACCTACAGAAATAGACATAACATAGAGTGAGCTAGGCTCAGTGAACAATAGTACTTAAATGCATCAGTTACTTAATTAAAAATGTAACACACATAAAAGTATAGCAATACAGAAATCATGTAGTAGTCTGATTCCGTTCGGGCAAACAGAACAATGCTGTCGGTTCACAAGTTCACAGTTTGGCACTTGACCTGAAGAGTTCACGCATTCACAAATTAGCCCTTGGCTTTTTAGTTTCAAAACTTAGATGCACAACTTCACAAATTGGCCCCCAGCCTCTGAGATTCATAGTTTCCCAAGTTACAAATTCTTAGTTCACAAGTTGGCCATCGGCCTCATCATTTCATATTTCACAATTGGCCCTTGGCCATATAGGTTCATAACTTTACAAACTCTTTTGATGTTCCCATAATTTCACAATGTTTCTCACATGGCATACATAACTTCACAACCTCTTTTGATGTTTCCATAATTTCAAAATGTTTCTCACATAGCATACATAGCATACATGTCAACATAATTCTTACGACGAAAATCATAACGTCAATAACGATAATTATGAACGGTTAAAGGTGCATCAAAGTACTATTACTCACAGCGTTGTGATGACGTGCTAGTCCCTCCCAGAGTATGTCCTGTACACATTTAAAGTTCACAAATTAGCTTTCTCCTTCCTTGTTAAAATAATTCTTGAGTCATTACGCTTCAAATGAGTTTACAACCATCGAAAGATCATAAAAAATATTGTAAAAATAACAGAGGGTCAAGCACACAAAACAGAGCAGGTATTCTTTCCGACCTGGGCCGCACGTGCGGCAGCCCCCTCCGCACGAGCGGACATGGACCGCACGTGCGGCCCCCCTCCTCCGCACGAGCGGCCGTAGACAGTATGTAAACCCAGATTTTTCCCTCTTCTCCGCACGTGCAGCCAAGCCCCTGTTTGGCAGTCCAAAATTTATACAAAAAGCCAAGTTTTGGTAAGAAACAACAAGGTTCAAAGTAAGTCCTTTGATTACTAAACTATGGTTCAAATTCATGTATTTAGAAGGCATAAATACACAACAATCTAGATCTTAACTTCACAACTCAATTTGATTCATCAAAACTTTAAACTCATAACTACTTTAAACTTTAAACTCACATATGTAGATATATATCCATATAGCCATATATTTCTATACTTGGATTCAAACATGATAAATCAAGGAACAAAATAATCAAATGATAGATTGATCATATCAATTTTTCATCATAAACACACAAAATTTCCCTTACAACCCTTACAACTCAAAGACACACAACATCAAGGAATTCCTACTCCAAATAGAGGAAGAGGGTTGAGTTAAGGGAATTACACTTACCTTAAGCTTCAATTTCTCTAACCCTCTAATTTTATCCCAAATCACTTCCTTGTTGAGCTTTCCCCTTTTCTCCTTCTTTCCTTAATCTCCTAGCCTCTCCAGGAGATATTTACAAAATGGGTTTTTCCCAAATCAAGTGGTTGTAGGCAAGAATGCATTGATAGACATAATAGGACAAAAATCATTTGTTTAATCATTCCGAAATTGAAATTTCGTAAACATGCTTAATATTACCTAAAAATTACGCTGATCGTCATTATAAAATCAATTTCAGATAATTAAGCCTCTAGGACTTCCAGTTTCTGATTTAACATTATAATTGTAACAGATGCTTTTCCTTATTAAACAGATACAGGTTCGATTCATAAGACATATATATACTTAAACTTAATTTCTCATGCAGTTTCATATTAAACATTCGAAAGTACAAAATAAAGACTAAAATATAGCAGAATCATATACGAGGGTCGGGTTATTACACTCTCCCCCCCTTAAATAAGTTTGGTCCCTCAAACTTGCTTGTACCTCAAAACGAAAACAGATGCGGATACTGGTGTTGCATATCCTCTTCTTTTTCCCAAGTAGTCTCGGTTCCATAATGTTCTTGCCACTCTACCTTTACCATTGGAATTTCTCGATTGCGTAACTATTTCACTTGCCGATCCAAAATTCGAAGTGGTTTTTCTTCATAGCTTAGCTTATCATCCAACACAATTTGGTGGTAGTCTATGACATGAGATGGATCTGACAGGTATCTTCGAAGCATAGAGACATGGAACACATTATGTACTTGGCTCATGCTCGGTGGGAGGGCTACTCGATAAGCTACCGGGCCCACTCTTTCCAGAATTTGGAAGGGACCAACATACCGGGGTGTTAACTTTCCCCTTTTTTCAAATCTCGGATGGCCTTTCAGCAGTGTGACTTTCACGAACACATGACTACCCATTTCAAGTTCCAAATCTCTTCGACGGTTATCCGCATAACTCTTCTGTCTGCTTTGAGCCGTTTTTAATCTTTCCCGAATAATTTTCACCTTTTCCGTTGTTAATCGCACAATTTCAGACCCTAGCAAAGAGCTATCCCCAACCTCAGTCCAACATACTGGGGAACGACACGGTCTCCCATATAAAGCTTCATAAGGTGCCATCTCAATACTCGAATGGTAACTATTGTTGTATGCAAATTCTACCAACGGTAAATGGGTTTCCCAACTGTCTTGAAAATCTAGCACACACATTCGGAGCATATCTTCTAAAGTTTGTATCGTTCTCTCGGATTGACCGTCGGTCTGAGGGTGAAAAGTTGTGCTGAATTTAAGTTCTGTACCCATAGCTTCCTGCAGACTTTGCCAAAATCTTGAAACAAATTTGGGATCCCTATCCAACACAATTGAAACCGGAATGCCGTGAAGCCTTACAATTTCATTCGCATAAAGTACTGCAAGCTTATCCGCATTATACTGAGTCTTCACTGGTAAGAAGTGAGCAGACTTAGTTAACCGGTCTACAATGACCCTTATCAAATTCATGCCTCAAGGAGTCCGTGGTAACCCCACAACAAAATCCATGGTTAAATGTTCCCACTTCCATTCCGGGATTGGAAGGGGTTGTAATAATCCTGCTGGTCTTTGATGTTCCGTTTTTACTTGCTGACATTGTAAACACTTAGAAACGAATTCCGCGATCTCCTTTTTCATACTTGGCCACCAAAAATTTTGTCTCAAATCCCGGTACATTTTAGTACTTCCCGGATGTATTGAAAATCTTGAGGCATGTGCTTCTTCCATCAATTCCCGCTTAAGTTCCAACACATTAGGGACACATATTCTGTTTTGAAACTTGAGCACCGAATCCATTAAACTGAATCCCAGTTTTGGTTTTGTCTCTAACTCATCACATATCTTCCTTAAAGTATCATCCTCCATTTGATGCAACTTGATCTCTTCAAGTAAGGTCGGTTGAGCCATTACTGCTGCCATTATGACCTCCTGTCCACGTATCATATATTCCACATTCAGTTTATCTAACTCAATCACCAACTCCTTTTGTTCCGTAAATAAATTTGCCAAATCCCCCTTATTTTTCCGACTAAGTGCATCTGCGACCGTGTTGGCTTTACCAGGATGGTAATGGATCTGCAAATCATAATCCTTAAGCAACTCCAACCATCGCCGCTGTCGCATATTCAACTCCTTCTGGGTAAAAAGATATTCGAGACTTTTGTGGTCGGTATAGACTTCACAGGTTGTGCCATAGAGATAGTGCCGCCATATCTTCAAAGCAAAAACTACTGCTGCTAGCTCAAGGTCGTGTGTGGGATAATTTTTCTCGTGGGGTTTCAATTGTCGAGAGGCATAAGCGATAACCCTTCCATTCTGCATAAGTACACAACCAAGCCCTTTATGCAAAGCATCACTGTAAATTACAAATCCTTCGGTACCAGATGGTAAGGCCAGAACTGGTGCTGTAGTCAACTTTGTTTTCAGATCTTGGAAAGTAGACTCCTGTTCTTCTGACCATTCAAATACAACTCCCTTTCGAGTCAATTGTGTAAGCGACACAGCGATTTTGGAGAAGTTCTTAACAAACCTCCTGTAATAGCCAGCTAATCCCATGAAACTACGCACCTCAGTGACATTGGTAGGAGTTGGCCAATTCACAATCGCCTCAATTTTATGCGGATCAACAGAGACTCCTTCCTTTGTTACTACATGCCCCAGAAATGCCACCTCTTGTAGCCAGAATTCACATTTCTTTAACTTTGCATATAATTTCTTCTCCTGGAGTGTTTGAAGGATTAGGCGAAGATGATCCTCGTGAGCCTCTGCACTCTTTGAGTATATGAGAATATCATCAATAAAGACCACCACAAACTCATCCAGGTAAGGTTTAAAGACGCGATTCATTAGATCCATAAATGCTGCCGGTGCATTAGTAACTCCAAAGGGCATGACTAGAAATTCGTAATGGCCGTACCGGGTTCGAAAAGCTGTCTTCTCCACATCATCAGCTTTGACCTTCAATTGATGGTATCCAGACCGTAGATCAATTTTTGAGAAAACTTGTGCCCCTTGTAGTTGGTCAAATAAATCGTCAATCCGTGGTAAGGGGTACTTGTTTTTTATTGTTACCTTATTAAGTTCCCTATAGTCAATACATAGCCGAAGTGTTCCGTCCTTTTTTTTCACAAATAAAATTGGCGCACCCCAAGGAGATACACTCGGTCGGATGAATCCCTTATCAAGAAAATCTTGTAATTGAATCTTTAACTCTTTCATTTCAGTTGGGGACATCCTATACGACGTCTTAGAGATGGGTTGGGTTCCTGGCGCTACTTCAATTATAAACTCAATTTCGCGGTCTATCAACTGCCCTGGCAATTCTTCAGGAAAAACATCCAGAAATTCACGGACCACTGGAATCACATCAATACCCCCATTCATCACTTGTTCCTCCAAAACACTACATAAATACCCCTAACATCCTTTCTGCATTAACTTACAAGCCTTCACGGCAGAAATTAGATAAGGTGGCGAAGTCACTTCCCGCCCCTGAATAATAGACTCTGGTTGCCCGGGAGGATGGAAATTGATTTGCTTAGTCAAGCAGTTTATAGTCGCACCATAATCACTCAGCCAATCCATTCCCAGAATAACATCAAAAGAGGTCATGTCGAGAGGTAATAGGCTAGCATACACCCGAATATCCCCAAGTTGAAGTTCACAAGCTACATATACCGAAGCACAGATCATAGAGTCTCCCAAAGGGGAAGACACACACAACATATAAGACAAGTTTTCTTCAGTTTTATCTAACTTAGGACCGAATAGTTTCGACACAAAAGAGTGGGTGGAGCCAGAATCAAACAATACATGCGCAGAATGACCATAAACAATAAATGTACCTGACACCACCGTCGCCGCATTTTGTACATCACCTGGAACCAATGTGAACACCCTACCTTGCCTTGCAATATCCTTATTATTAGTAGGTTTAGCAGTTGCCTTCACGTTGGGGGTTGGTGTAGACCCCGCGGAACTTGTAGCAGTCCTATTGCCCTTTTGTTGAGTCTATTGCGGGCAATCCCTTACCAGATGACCCGTTTTGCCACATTTAAAACAAGCTCCAGTCTTCCAGTGGCAAGTCCCTCGATGTTGCCTTCCACAATCTGGACACACCGGAGTGGAGTTGTGGGTAGGGGTGGTGATGCTGAAGTTCCCTGAATTCTGCTTCTTATTTGGTAGGGTAACTGATCCTCTTGACCATTAATTATTCTGCCTCTTCCCTTTCCACTCGGAAATTCGATTCTGAGCAGCAAGATTCCCTTTTGCTATAACGGCCCTTTCTAGCACATCGACATAAGTAGGTAGCTTTAACATATTGACCCGATCTAGGATAGCACCCCGTAAGCCCCCTTTAAATTTTCGTGCGTTCTTATAATCTGTATCCACCATATGAGGCGCAAACCGAGCTAGTTCTACAAATTGGGCTTCATATTCAGCAACAGTCTTGTTCCCTTGTCTGAGAGTTTCAAATTCAGTCACCTTCTTATCTTGCATGCTTTGGGGAAAATACTTGTCGTAGAACAATTCTAGAAATCTATCCCATGTTAATCCTGGGTGTATGGTCCTTGTGAGCATCCACCATCTCCGCGCCTTATCCTCAAGAGTGAAAGCAGCCAATTGCACTTTTTGAGCTTCCATACAAGAGAAAACTTCGAATAGTTTCTCGATTCCCAACACCCATGCTTCAGCTTTCATTGGTTCTATGCCTCCTTTGAAGACTGGCGGTTTCATCTTTTTAAACTCCTTAGTAAGGGTAATGGTTCGGTCTTCAACATGAAAATCTGGTACTGCCAGTGGAGGTACTGGTAGTGGTGGCGGTTGTTCTAGTGGCTGTTGCTGCTGTTGTAGTTGTTGCTGTTGTTGTCGTAGGGTCTCCGCCATTTCCATAATCATTCTCTCTATCCTATCCAACCGTGCAGATGTAGCATCTTCCGCATATTCTGTCCTTGTTCTCATCATTTCCTACACAACAATCAATTATATACAAGAAACATAATTCAAAGTTGTTAGCATTATCAGAGTACACTTAACGTTGCCATCGCTCTTTCATATACTTTCAGGATGTCATGCAAGATGCCTAAAGCTTTTCTAGACACCCTAAGCTCAATAGATCTGTGTGTGAGATAACAACTTGTGCTCTGATACCACTTGTCACGCCCCTAACTCGCCCCTAAAAGTTTGGGCATGACCTACACAGAAGTAGACACTTAATCTGATATATATATATATATATAATTTAGGGGCCTGTACGGAAGCCTTGACATCATAGAACAATATAAGTATGACTTCCATTGAGCTACTATTACCATGCCAGGATCACAGACGTAGTATAAAACGAATAGACATAAAGAGCTACATATGTGAGAGTTAATTATAAACATATACATATGCAGAACCTGCCCCATGGTTGGGCGTATAACAAAACATTATGTACATCTCAATCTAAGCCAATAACTAAGGTGCAAGTCATAACTTAACAAAATACCACCAAAAATGTAAGGCTTTGACCCAGTGCCTAGCCACGCTTAGGCTGACAAAAAGGTGATGATGCCGAGCTTAGGACCGATCTCCTGGTTGGTTACCTACAAAAATAGACATTACATAGAGTGAGCTAGGCTCAATGAACAATAGTACTTAAATGCATCAGTTACTTAATTAAAAATGTAACACACATAAAAATATAGCAATACAGAAATCATGTAGTAGTCTGATTCCATTCGGGCAAACAGAACAATGTTGTCGGTTCACAACTTCATAGTTTGGCACTTGACCTGAAGAGTTCACACATTCACAAATTAGCCCTTGGCTTTTTAGTTTCAAAACTTAGATGCACAACTTCACAAATTGGCCCCCGGCCTCTGAGATTCATAGTTTCCCAAGTTACAAATGTTTCTCACATGGCATACATAACTTCACAACCTCTTTTGATGTTTCCATAATTTCACAATGTTTCTCACATGGCATACATAACTTCACAACCTCTTTTGATGTTTCCATAATTTCACAATGTTTCTCACATGGCATACATAACTTCACAACCTCTTTTGATGTTTCCATAATTTCACAATGTTTCTCACATAGCATACATAGCATACATGTCAACATAATTCTTACGACGAAAATCATAACGTCAATAACGATAATTATGAACGGTTAAAGGTGCATCGAAGTACTATTACTCACAGCGTTGTGATGACGTGCTAGTCCCTCCCGGAGTATGTCCTGTACACATTTAAAGTTCACAAATTAGCTTTCTCCTTCCTTGTTAAAATAATTCTTGAGTCATTACGCTTCAAATGAGTTTACAACCATCGAAAGATCATAAAAAATATTGTAAAAATAACAGAGGGTCAAGCACACAAAACAGAGCAGGTATTCTTTCCGACCTGGGCCGCACGTGCGGCAGCCCCCTCCGCACGAGCGGACATGGACCGCACGTGCGGCCCCCCTCCTCCGCACGAGCGGCCGTAGACAGTATGTAAACCCAGATTTTTCCCTCTTCTCCGCACGTGCGGCCAAGCCCCTGTTTGGCAGTCCAAAATTTATACAAAAAGCCAAGTTTTGGTAAGCAACAACAAGGTTCAAAGTAGGTCCTTTGATTACTAAACTATGGTTCAAATTCATGTATTTAGAAGGCATAAATACACAACAATCTAGATCTTAACTTCACAACTCAATTTGATTCATCAAAACTTTAAACTCATAACTACTTTAAACTTTAAACTCACATATGTAGATATATATCCATATAGCCATATATTTCTATACTTGGATTCAAACATGATAAATCAAGGAACAAAATAATCAAATGATAGATTGATCATATCAATTTTTCATCATAAACACACAAAATTTCCCTTACAACCCTTACAACTCAAAGACACACAACATCAAGGAATTCCTACTCCAAATAGAGGAAGAGGGTTGAGTTAAGGGAATTACACTTACCTTAAGTTTCAATTTCTCTAACCCTCTAATTTTATCCCAAATCACTTCCTTGTTGAGCTTTCCCCTTTTCTCCTTCTTTCCTTAATCTCCTAGCCTCTCTAGGAGATATTTACGAAATGGGTTTTTCCCAAATCAAGTGGTTATAGGCAAGAATGCATTGATAGACATAATAGGACAAAAATCATTCGTTTAATCATTCCGAAATTGAAATTTCGTAAACATGCTTAATATTACCTAAAAATTACGCTGATCGTCATTATAAAATCAATTTCAGATAATTAAACCTCTAGGGCTTCAAGTTTCTAATTTAACATTATAATTGTAACAGATGCTTTTCCTTATTAAACAGATACAGGTTCGATTCATAAGACATATATATACTTAAACTTAATTTCTCATGCGGTTTCACATTAAACATTCGAAAGTACATAATAAAGACTAAAATGCAGCAGAATCACATACGAGGGTCGGGTTATTACACTTCTCCTCTATTTATACTTCCCAAAGGTAACCGTCGAAATGGGCTTCCAACCGTCGAAATGCACTTCCACGATCTCTGGTCATGGCTTCGCACAATCAGCTTCCACTACGTCATTCCTTCAGTTAGGCTTCCCTCTTGCATTTGAATTCGAACTTTTGAGTAACTGTTGGGCCATATCACCCCGCGCCTTCTCACTGCTTCCATGTAACGTAGACCCATCATTACCAATTTGAACTATCACGTGTCTATTGCTGATGGGAGACTTGCATTAATTCTCCAAAACACCCTTCATAAGCCACGTGTTAAGCTGCGACTGGCCTGTACAAAATACATAGCCAACAAAAACTCTCCTAAAACTCCACAAGAATATAAAGAAAAGGGAAAATCTTCACTCAGTCAAGAAAACAAAGATGCTAGCACCATGCCTTTCAAAGAAGGAATGGAACACTTTTTTCGCTCAAAAGATGTATAATTTCTGTCTCTCCAAACACATAATGCAAAGAGCACAGTCAAAGTTTTCCTACAACCATGCTTTGGACATCCATTGCCAACAAAGCAAAAAATGTCTTCACCAATCTAGGCTGTACTGTACTTTTTTTTTTTTTTGGAAGTATAGTACAGTCTAGATTGGTGAAGTTCACCAATCTACCAATCTAGCCTAGTACTATACTGAACATAGAGAACAACAATATTGAGACCTGTGACGCCACTAAACATGTAACAAAAGATAATTCACCGACATCCAACACCAGTCTATCAAAAATTTATACAATAAAGTTATCATCAATAGCAAAAAGAACGTCCTTAATAGTTATCCAAGCAAAGACGCCACCCCTTTCCACAGAAAATTGCAATCTCTTTGCCCAATGAGATGCAGATAGAAAGATGCCACCATGGATCTAATGTTCGAAGCTCCACTCCAAACCAAATAATCATCAACCCCAATCCAGATAAACCAACCTGAGAGCAAGCGAGCCAACCAACTCCACCACTAAGCCAATATCCTACTCTTGTAGTGATCTCCTAAGCAATGAAGTCCAGACCACACCTCTTTGGCCTAAAGTCCAACAATCCACAACAATACTCGAGATTTCTTGAAAAGCTTCCCTCAAAGATCTATGCCCAAACCAAATGTCTTGCCAAACCTTACCCAAGGCCCATTACCCACCTTTAGAGAGGTGAATTTATAGAAGTCATCAAAACCAATCATGATTTCCTTCCAAACCTACAGCTTATAGGGCCATCTGACAGACACCTTGGACCACTCCTCCCAATCAAACCCATATCTTCCCACCACCACCCCTCCTTCACAAACTCTTCTTCTCAAAAAGGAACGTTCATAACCACTCCCCTAACAAGGTTTTGTTAACCAGACACATTTCGTTTGTGTCTAACCCACCCCTTTCCTAATGCATATGCACCACCTTCTAATCTGTAAGATGATATACCTAAACCCATCACCCAACCCAATCCAAAGGAAATCTCTCATCAATTTTTCCAATCTATGAATCACCGACATGGCGATAGTAATCCATGATACAAATAAGTAGTAGGCTCAACAACATGCTCTTAATAAGAATCACCCTACCAGCCTTAAGTATTGCCTCTTCCACATGGCCAATGTCCTCTGGAATCTCTTAACCACCAGATCTCAAACCATTCTAGCTTTGAAAGAAGCTCCAAGCAAAAAACCCATATAAGACGAGGGTAAAGCCCCAACTCGGCACCCCAAATTCATAGCTTATGACTTTGCACTGTAAAAATAGCCCATTAGGACAAGCTCACCCTAGGCCAAGTTAACCCACAATCTTGATGTAGTGTTTGGTTCATTAAGCTGACATATCACTACAGGAAAAAAGGATTATGGTGGCGTTTTTTTAACGACATTTTTTTAAACGTCATTGTTATTAACATTTAACGGCGTTTTATAAACACCACATATTATTGTAACCAAAACGGCACCGTTTTATAATAGGAAACGCCTCCGAATGCGGTATACTGCACGCGCCTTTTCAATCCTTATTTTGTATCTGGACCTCTCTCAACCCATGCGTATACATCATTTTGAATCTGAGCCCCCCCTCTCTCTCTCTCTCTCAACCCTCTCTGAGCTCCATCGAAGATTCAGATATTCAAAGCTCCATCGAAGCAATTTCGGAGCTCCATCGAAGCTCCAGATCGAACCAATTTCGAAGCTCCGTCGAAGATTCAGAGATTTCCATCGAAGATTCAGATATTCGAAGCTCCATCGAAGCAGTTTCGAAGCTCCATCGAAGCTCCAGATCGAACCAAATTGTTCTCATATTGCTCAGTTGTTTACGTATTTTTTTAATTGATGAAGTTGTCATGCACTTCTCTCTGCTTTCAGGATAATTGGCAACCCATTAATTTGTGGGCCTAATTCAGATAACAACTGTTCTGTGGTCTATCCCGAGCCTGTTTCCTTCCCGCCAGATGGTGTCAAAGGTGTCCATCACATAGTAGTATTTAATTTTCTTTTTAAGTTACTTCACTGCTTTTCCATAACTGTTCCATGACATGTTTAATTGATGGAATCTTTACTTTCCCAGATGGGTCAGAATCAGGGACAAAGAGCCACCGTGTGGCTGTCACTTTTGGCGTGAGCTTTGGTGCTGCCTTTTTAATTATAGTAATCATTGGATCATTTGTTTGGTGGAGATATAGACACAACCGGCAAATTTTCTTTGATGTTAATGGTTAGGTCTTATGTACTTCTATCTTCATTTTATTTCCCAGTTTCTTCATTGACAAGTATCAATTCTTATGGCATTATGATGATTGATTAGACGCATTTGTGCTACAACTTAGTTGCATTTGGTTGGCCATTTGTTAAATGGGGGAGTGGTGAGAGAGGAGAGGGTAATGTTATTTTGTTGCTTGTATATAAGGTAGTAATTTTTTGATTGAGAATTGTGAATTCAATTTTTGGATATGTTATTTTGTGGGAAAATTAATGCTATATTAAATTGAATGGGAAAGTGAATTAATGCTATATTTGTTATTTGAGTGGGAGTTATTATTTTATATTAATGTTATTTAGTTTTATTATTGGTGTTCTTTTAGTTCAATCACATAAAATTAGCACAATTTCAAAATCAAAGAAAAAAGAAAGAAAAAGAAAGATAAGACGGCGTTTTTAAAATGACACTATAACGGTTGGAATTTTTAAAATTAAAAAAACTTATGAAGGCATTTTAAAAACGTCGCTAAAATCATAGTGACGTCATAGTATTGTTAAGGCAGGACATTTAGCGGCGTTTTTAAAAACGCCGCCTATACTAATACAGCGACGTTTTCCAAACGCCATAAAGTTATAGCGACGGCCGCGTCATCGGCGTTTGGTACTAAACGTCACAAAAAGAATTAGCGACGTTTTTGGTACCTATAGCGGCGTTTAAAGCCGCTAAAAGCCTAATTTCCAGCAGTGTATGTCACTACTAGTGAATTAGAGTAGATCATTCATTATACAGTTTGTTATGTAGATCGTCCATTATACTGTATGGCAATCATGTTAGACTGGTGGGTCATCCCACGAAACCATTTGTGAACCCCTACTGGATGCCATTTGAAGAGTTTTTTTCTTTTTTTGTAAGTTACCTTAATTGAATGTATAATACTGAGAGTTAGCCTCCTCATATCAAAGACTATACACTTTTGGCTTGAAGCGGTTGTCCAAAACCTTATCACAATCGACATGCAAATGAAATCCCCCCCAGATCATCTAGTCAAATCCTAAAAAGTGGGATGCAAACCAGAGTGGAGAATATAGTTACTGAAGCAAACAAAGGCGCAAGTTTAAGCTTTTATTTTTTGACTATCATTCAGGAATTTCTAGAAACATCCATGGCAAAACTTGATGTATTAGTTCTTCTTTGTTCAGGAACTTTCTCATTTATTCATGAAACTATAAGACTGGAAAAGAGAACTAAAATACAAAAGGACACAACTACCTGAGTATTCAAATAATGACAAGATCTGTTCATTCAATAGGTCAAGCTATAAAATGACAAATGACAGAAAATAAATTGCATAAGCTTCAAGAAAAAGAGAATTGTCTTTATATTACTAATATTATCAAGTGACACTGTCATGTAAAATTTGTGAAGGCATCCCAATATAAGAATCAATCTCTCTCCTACCCGCAAGTGCAACAAATTTATCCCAAAAAACCAACAGAGGACATTTGTCAATCAAATTTGACCCATCATAACCCTCTTTAAGGAATACAGTACTCTTTGCACCTTTATTAGTAATGTAAAAAATACCATGATGCCTTATCATGCAAAGCAACAATCTAGCTGGCAACCGATAGTCCGAATGAAATGCTTCTAGTTGATCAGATGTCATCCTCTTCTCCATAGTTAAACTAAGGAGTTCATGAAGCACTGCCACCATTCGCTTTCGAGCTTTTGGATCAGCAGATTCGAACCTCCTCGCATTCAAGTATGGAGAAGGGAATTCCATTTTCTGCCACCTCTGAACTTCTTCAAGGTAACTCTTGTTTGGTCTAAAACCAACAGGAAAACTCAAGTGAAAAGCAAAAGGACCCAGGATGTTACCATCTTTTGAGATTCTAACCTTTCCTGAACGTCCAACAGCGGCCAGAATCCTTTCCCGCACCAATCTTTCCTCCCGAGCTGTTACTGCAAGGCCCGAATCCCAATTTTCCAACTGAAGATGTGCTCTGCCATTAACATCTTTCACAGAAAAGTATTCTGGGTACTTGGGAATCAAAGACTTCTTGAAGTCACAACGCAAACCCATTGCAGATTCAATGAATTCGACAGTTTCCAGTGGGAGCCGACAATCAATCGACAACATTAACAACTTCCTTAGGTTCCTAACTACAATGGGTTCCATTTGCTCTCTGGTGTAAATTTCTTCAGCCGCAATCTTTTTGGCTTTTTCTGTAAGCATAACCATGGGAGGTGCTCTGCTACCACCACTAACATGAAAGATAGTAGGGTACTTCTCAATGACAGCCATGAAATTCCATTTTTGAACAAACCCAACTTCTTTTTCAAGGTCTCTGCGGAGGAGAGATTGGCTTTTCTAGGCTTAGACAATAGACTTGAGCTGCAGAATTATTGACGGTTTCTTTTGAAGGTCCATGGCTCCGTCAAGTTCATGGACTCTGTAGTAGATTTTCTTCCTGGGTCTTTTTCCTCCACAGGTTTTGTGCATTATTAGGACCTTCATATAACCTGATTTCCCAAATGAGCTCACACCAAAACCCTCACAGTTTACTCTTCTATCAATAAAAGATGATCCAAGACATTGGTATGGGCGCAAGAACATGAAATTTCTATGCATTTTGGTAATGGCAATGAGGGACGAAATGTCTATGAGACCAACTATCAAACAAGTAGTGTGCAAGAGTTTGTGTTGAAGAAGATGGCAAAAGAAGTCTGTTTGGTTGGGGCTTTATAACTTGTTTGATTGCGATTTCAATTGCTTTTGAATCTGGGTTCTTCTTCCACTCTACAGCTAAGATACAGAAACCCCCAATTTCAACAAGGATTCCAAGAAGAAGCAAGATGATGGAGACAACAACACAATCAGAGGATCAATCGATCCACTCTTCTTCCGATGAAAACAGCGTCCCAACACCAAATCCAGACGTAGTAGAAGAAGCAGCAGCAGCTAACAAGGAGGTATCATCATCGTCCCTTGACAAACCACTTAAAGCATTGACATATGTATTTCGTGCAAGAGAGCAACTTTATAAGAAGCGTATCACCACGTATTGATCTTCCTGATGGAGCTGTTTAATGGAATGGTGTGTGTTAATCCAGATCATGTGACTGAGAGGTTCGTGGTAAGTAGGGTATGGCGAATACTGTTCATTGACATGTCACTCGATATGAAGAGAGAATGGGTTCTTAATTTCGTAGGGTTTGGCTTTGGGTTTGCAATTTTTTGAATGCGGTGTGCCTCAATTTTTGGCCCCGTTTGTAACCCTGGTTTTTAATCCAAAAAATCATTATAAATCTTCTAATATTACTTTTTTTTTAAAATATATTTTTTCATAAAAATTTAAAATATAGTGAACTTTCAATCATTTTTTATTGTAATGTGTTTGGAGATGATTAAGTCATGATATTGGCCTATTTTGAAAAGTAATTAAAGCTTTGTTTTATATATATTAAAAATATATATATATATATATATATATATATATTATAATAAAAAACAAACAAAACAAAAGAGGGGCCAATGACAAACAAAAACAAAATGAAAATGATTCAATATAACTGTGTAGTTTCTGAAAGATTAGCTGAGTTCATCATGCTGATTGCGATTCTTTTTCAAAACAGCTTTGAAGCAAAGTTTAAAAGTCAACTCATTAAAGTTCATCCATAGCCTCAACAACAAACATACGGCGGGCAAACAATTGCAGCAACGAAGGCGGGCAAACAATTGCAGCAACAAAGAACGACGGCGGAGGCAGAAGCGAAAGGCGGTACTGCTGTGTTTTTGCACGAAGAGAGGTGCAAGTGATGAGGTGGCATAAATGTAAATGTTTGGAAATGATAAGGATATTTAAGTAATTTTGTATATCCCTCAGAGTTTCTCACAATCTGAAGCAGCTGTTGGACAACTTTTGAAAATCAGTTTTTTTTTGGAAAAAAGCTGAAACAGATTCAAGCTTATTGATATTTATATCAAACACTCAAACATAGCTTTTTTAAGCTAGAATCTATAATTTGATTGAAATAATCTGTAACAAACAGGGCATAGGATTATTTGACCAGCAGGTATCAGACAGATAACATGCCTCTTCTTCACAAGAAGAAATTATTCCTTCAATACAAAATGGCATACAAAATATGCCTTCACTCGTATCTGTCACTGACATACAAAATGGCATGAACCATCATCATCCACCAAATTATTATCAGCTCATCACCTGAAAACAAGTATAGATATACTGAGATAGAAATTGTTCAGGGAAACAAAGCACATAAATAAACATAACCTTGTCCATGTAAGACAGCATCTAAAACGTAAACATAACAATAAGACCCGGGGCATTAAACTCCAGGGAATTAAATGCTACTCCACAGTCGAATATTCGAAAAATGAAAAAGTAAAAAACAAAAAAACAACCAACAAAAAACATTACTTTCTTCATCACCTCTCTCATGAATTTTGAACCTTGTCGCTTGGTATTGAATCATTTGACAACTTACAGCTTGTCTTCAAACTCAGAGAGTGGTGTCATCTGCTCCTTCAAACCCTTTCTTTTGCGGATGTCTGCAACAAGGGCTGATGCCTGTGATCCAGATTCCAATGGATCGGATGACATCATATCCCAATGATCAAAAACACATTGTGGGAAGGCCTGCCCTGAAGTTGCTGCCCTCAGAGTGCTTGAAAATCCAAAAGACTCGATAACTGGAAGGTATGCCTTGATATTGTAGAGTGGCGTACCCGGCCTCTGGATTTCCTCGAACACGTGGCCACGTTTCTGATTCAGCACACTGTAGATTCCACCAAGGGCTTGCTCTGGTGCCTGGATCTCCACCATGTAGACAGGCTCCAGAAGGCGTGGCTTAGCAGTTATTTGGGAAGCATAAATAACCCTCCTAGCAGTGGGAATGACCTGGCCACCACCCCTGTGAATAGCATCAGCATGCAAAACTACATCACAAACTTCAAAGCAAATACCCCTCATGTTTTCTTCAGCCAATGCACCTTCCTTTGATGCCCATTGGAACCCAGCAACTACAGAATCCTTGATTTCATTGAGGTATTGAACTCCCTTGCACATATCAACAACCATGTTGGGGCCAGTGGTTTCAGGGCCAAAGCACCAGATTTTCTTTGCAAGATCCTTGTCCCAACCGAACTCCTCAGACAAGATTTTAGCTCGGATCTTCGGGTCATCCCTTGGACCAATACGTCCATCATCAATGGCCTCGGCAAGCCCCTCCTCCAGGGGTCTAGCTTCCATATATAGACGGTTATGCTTGTTTGGTGATTTGCTCATCACAGTTCGGCAAGACTTCTCAAGAACTGTCTCACGGAAGGACACAACAGGATCTGACTTAATAATTTCAGCCCCACCCATGAAATCGTCCTGCAAATCCTTCAAACAGATCTCAAGGTGCAACTCTCCAGCACCAGCAATGATGTGCTCCCCAGACTCCTCAATGGTACAGACAACCATAGGATCAGATTTAGCGAGACGTTTCAGACCTTCAACAAGCTTGGGAAGGTCAGAGGCAACCTTGCACTGCACAGCCACACGAACAACAGGTGAGACTGAGAACTTCATTGCTCGGATTGGGTGGGCATCGGTTTCCTTCTCATTTGTCAAGGTCGCATTCTTGGTGATATATTGATCCAAGCCAACCAAAGCAACCGTATTCCCACATGGAACATCCTCTACAGTTTCCTGCTTCTTTCCCATCCAAATGACAGTTCTCTGTACACTTTTAACATACAAGTCCTTTTTCTCTCCAGGGACGTAGTTGGGACCCATGATTCTAACCTTCAACCCAGTTGAGACTTTCCCGGCAAACACACGACCAAAGGCAAAGAACCTTCCCTTGTCAGATGCGGGAATCATCTTGGACACATAGAGCATAAGAGGCCCCTCAGGATCACAGTTCCTAATAGCATTAGCATATTGATCATCAAGGGGTCCCTCGTACAAGTTCTCAACACGATACTTCTGAGCCGTAGCAGGAGATGGAAGATGAAATATCATCATTTCCAGGAGGGCACTGCTTGCTGGAAGCCAGGTCTGCATGACGCGCTTCATCAATGCCTTCCCCATCAAGTCCTTCTCATCGGACTTCATGGTGACACCAAGCTTCTGCAACATGGGCCACAGCTTGTCTTTCTGATCATTCATGCAAGTGGCGATGATCTGCTTAATGGGTTCGTAGCAGAACTGAACAAACCCACGCTTGCAAGTAGCAGAGCCAGTATTCTTGGTGGTCCACTTTTTGGTGGCAGGGTCAAAAAAGTTTTCACCCCAGAGACGTTCCATCATCTTAGCCTCATCTACACCAAATTTGGAAGCATACATTTTGGCAAAGTTGGTCAGAGTAAAAGCCCACCCGTGCAACCCAGCAGAGAAAGCAACTGTTCCTTTCTCAGGGTACACCTGAACATCACCAAGGAGGGGATCCTCGTATGTGGCCATGATGACATTTGCATTCTCAATCACTCTTTGGAATGTTTGGTAAGCCTCCTCCCCATCAACTTGAAGCTCAAGGAAGCACCTATCCATCTTGTTAACAGTCAAGACTGGTCGGATCCTTTCACCCAAAGCCTGTCGGAGGACAGTTTCTGTTTGGACACAGACACCCTCAACACAATCAACCACCACAAGTGCACCATCAGTAATGCGAAGAGCAGCTGTGACCTCAGATGAGAAATCAACGTGCCCAGGCGAATCAATGAGATTAATGAGGTACTCATTCCCTGCCCGTTCTCCCTTGTAGCTACTGAGTGACGCGGCAGTCATCTCATAGTAGAGAGAGATACCGGTAGACTTGATGGTGATGCCACGCTCAGCTTCATCCGCACGGGTATCTGTCATCCGGACATCACCAGCAACTTCTTGAGCAATGATACCAGCAGCAGCCACGAGAGAATCGGTAAGTGTGGACTTCCCTGTAATAAGAAATAAAAGTACAAGTAAGGGGTTGTTTGGGATGATTTAAATAAGTGCACTTTTTGACTTTTTATGAAATATGGGTTGGGTTTGGGTTGGGTTTGAAGTGATTTGTTAAAGAGGTGATGTGACTTAAATAAGATGATGTGATTTAAATAGGATAGTAACTTTTTGACTTTTTATCTTTTTTCAAGCAAGCCAAACTTGGCCTAAATAATTGTATCGGTAACAAAGAATATATTTATATCAGTACCAAAGAACATATATAGATTCAAAATTAATTGCAAATTAGACTACAAATAATGAATCAATATAACCTGCTGACCAAAATTTCCCCAAGAAAGGTTCCATCAGCAGTTCTTATCTCCCAACTAATTTAACTATATGAAAGTGATTGAGAAAACCGAGAACATTATCTGACTATAGTGGAGTTTGTGTGTGTGTGTGTGTGTGTGTGTGTACAACATTAACTTCTCCCTAACTAAAAGATTGTCATAGCTAATCTGTCATATGATCCCACAGAGTAACACATCCTGATGTATGAGATGACAGAAAAGCTTCCATATGTTAATAATAAAAATTATACCAAAACGAGTAGGATATATTTATACCATGATCGACATGTGCAATGACAGACATGTTACGAATGTTATGTTTCATGTCCATAATCCTGCGAAGCTCATCGGCTGTGAACTTCACCTGCACATATAGATTAAATTTCTCCAATTAGAAAACTTGCAACTTCCGACAACATTATTAAATGATATCAGAAACACTCAAAACAAACAGCTTACCATTTTGACTACTTTTAAATGCTACCACAACAGAGTTCTAAAAATGAAAGATATTCGCCAAAAACACCTGCAATCGACATGGCAAACAGTCATCAGCAACTTAACCAGTTTAGCGTAGATGGGAGTCAGCTTGAGCATAAGCAACACGAAATCTTAATAAGAATTTCACAAAACAATATGTTATGCTCTATTAACAGAAATAAGCTGCTGCTGATGGAGTAAAATAATACAAATGTAGTAATAAACATCAGGCTTTGACCTTTGATATAGGAAATGCAATACTAGAAAATATATCAATGCATCAATACATCAGTTAAAGTTGAAGAAACTGATGCAATGTAAAATCTGTAATTTTCTTCATACTCAAATTATAACATTGAAACATGAAATTTCCACAACTGACACTGCAATCAAGTAAATCACAAGTCACAAGTATAAACATTCATATTAGAAAGCCTATTCTCGATTTAACATAGCACAAATAGAATGATATTCCAGCTGGTGCAACAACAATATCACATCATTAATTCCTTACAACCAATTACACGACCATTTCCTTCACTACTGGTTTGCAGAAATAGTTATTGCATCAAACCAAAACACATAAGTTTTCGTTGTGTAACAAAATTCACATAATCTACCTCACAAAAAGACTCCAAAACATAATAATCATAATAAATTCTCACTTTCATCTGAAAAAATACACTTCACACAAGATGGAAAAAAATAAATCATCCTAAAACTAATTCGTTAAAAGATTGCATCACGGCTAATAGTAATTTCAAAAGTACAATAGTTTTAATTCAATGAAAACCATCATTACATCTCACAGACTAAATTGACAGATGACATAACATAGTATCAAGTTTCAGCACCAAACAAATAAATTTTTTAAGTGCACCTAACGAATATATAATCAAATTTAAACAATCAACCGATAAGATTCTGCATGAAAGCTCAGCATCGTTATTGACGTGAACGTAAGATCTCATACTTCAAACAACACATCATGATTAAAAAAGCTAACTACTCAGATCAGAAAGAAACCAGACAATTCAAATGAACTGTTACATGTAAAAACTCGTAAGAAAGTTATCGGCAGTTCATAGAGAAACTCATCTCATCTAGATCTACACAGAAAACAGGTGAAAAACCTCACGAAGCAAACAAAAACATGAAAACAGAGAATCGATCGGTCAAAACAAATCAAATGCAAAAGATACACAATTCAGAGAATTCGAATAGAAAATAACTTAGATGAATCAAAAGTTACCAGGTAGAAATAGATACAGATAGATCGGAGCACGGATCAGGAGCAGGAACGATTAAGAGATGAATCAACAGATATACATACAGACAATATACATATGCGTAGAGAGAGAGAGAGAGAGAGTTACCGAGGAGAAAAGAAGGAGAAGGAGGCGGCGAGGATGGAGGGAGGCTCTCAGCGACCTTTCACTGAGAGAGGATTGCGATGAAGTGAGAGGCCAATATAAGGTTCCTCCAAACCCTATATACCGCTAGGGTATACTGCAGGCTCGCTCCTCTCCGGTTCGCTGCAGTGCAATTTTGTGTCCAGTTTCCCATAGCATATTCGATGGAAGTATATGCCCATCATTTTACGGCTACAAAAGGCAGACTCATTTACGAGTTATTTTTATTTAGGGATAAAGTATGTGTCATGTAATATAATACCTTTTATTAATAGTAAAATGTAGGAATATTTACCCATCCGTCTTATTAATTATATTTAATAATAATGATAGGTGACTCAAAAAATTATAACTCGAATGATTTAAAATACTTAAAACGACGTCGTTTTGATACATTCAAGTCACAAAAATTCAGAAAACCAAACATTTTCCTAAAATTTATAATTCTTAACTGATAAATTTATTATTATAAATTTATTCATAAAAACAAGAAACTATTTATCAATAGGATTTAATGGGTAATAAATATCAAAAGTAGGACCTATTGATAATTTCTCCTAAAATTTATTATATTTATATTAGATATTTAATGAATAATAAATGACATATATATTTGTGATTGATGAAACGTAGTACCCTATTAGCATATAAATTTTTTTTTTAATTATTTAGAGCATCTTCAATGACGTTTGCTATAATAACATTGCCATTGTTATAATTTGGCAATGAATAATAACAAATTGCCAAATTATAGTAATGGTGCTTTAATGTTCAGAGCATCTCTAATAGTTCACTTTTTTTTTCATCAAATTTGAGTAAAAAAATGACCGTTTTCTCAATTTGATATTAACTGCTCCAATAGTTGTCATCAAAGGCAGGGGTCAACCGGTCGGTCGACCGGTAAGGCAAAATTTTTTTTTTCTTTTTGAACTTGTTTGAACCTACCTATTTGAACTGTTTGAACCTTTTTCCGGTCGACCGGTGGGCCCACTTGCAACGTTACAACACAGTGAATTGGTGAAGGCTCACGCAGATTCTTAGTTTGGTGAAAAATTTGCTCTGTTCTCAGTTTGGTGAAACCATTAGAGCAAAAAAAGTGACTTTTTTCATCAAATTCAAATTTGATATTGAATCTGATGCAACGTTGGAGATGGTCTCACATGTCATTTTGATAAATTTCAACCAATTTTTCCTCTAATTCTGTAAATGTTGTTTGGATATAGATTTTTTCGTTTTTTTTTTTTGTGTTTTATTTTTTGCATTTTGTGACATTTTTCAAACTATTTAAAATAAATAAATAAATATTTATATTATACCTGGCTAGACAAATATAAAAAAAATAAATATAAATAATCCAACGGTGCTCTTTTATCATTGGTGATTGTTTATTTTTTAATAAAATTATTAACTCTATTATCAACTACATTAAAAAAAATAAATAAAATTATTAATTACATTAAAAAATTAAATTAAATATAATTTAGATGAACTCTATGGAATCATCATCCCATCTCCCAAGTCGGCTCTTCTCTCTCTCTCTCTTCTCCATTCCAGAACAGCTTCAAACCCTTCATCTTTCTCTCTCTCTCTCTTTTATATTGTGTTTAATTAAAGGATTTGGAAAATGTGTATGAAACTATGTGAAATATAGGTATATTTATTCACATTTTACCTATCTTTTCCTTTTCATTTTTCAAATCCCTTCCCCAAACATAACATTACCACCTCCATTCTTCCCTTCATACTCTCTCCCTCTATCTCTCACCTTTTTCACCACCACAACCACAAGAACCACTACCACAACCACCGCCGATCTCCAACCCTCAAATCCCAAATTTCCTTATCTAACCCTCTATTCCAACTCTCTGTTCTAAACCCCCTCTCTGTCTCCCCACATCTTCTTATTCGATTTCTCTCTCCCTCCATTCTAAATCCTCTTCTTCAACAATCCAAACCTTAATGAAAATGATCATCTCTCTTCCTCTTCGATCTCTCTCTCCCTCTTTTCTAAACCTCTTCTCTAACGATCCAAACCTTAACGAAAATGACCCAAACCCAAGACCTTAATGAAGACCATCCAAAAAAGACGAAGAAGATGAACCCGAAACCCTAACGAAGATGATCCAAACACAAAGATATGGAAGATGAAGCTGAAGAATCTTAAATTTGCAGGTATTTTTTCGTATAAAGTTGTTAAAATTCAAATTTTATTTTTGCTTTAGATTGATTGAAATTCCTGAAATTGATTGATTCATATTACTTGAAATTCCTGAAATTCATTTTTTTTTTCTTTCTTATTTTGCTTTAGATTGGTTGATTGATTCTAAAATTTTTAACTTTTGAATTTATTTATGTTTTGGAAGTTTTTGCTAGGAAAAATGATAAGAAAAAGAGGAAAATAGGGAGAAAACGATTGGCTTTGGTGACTTTGCACCTTTGGTAGTGACCAAAGCTTGTGTGACGCCCCGATTCTACACTATAGGTTGCAGTCAAAGAAGACTCACTAATGAGTCCTATGGTCAATAATCAAGTAAGATTCCAGATCGCTGGATGAGTCAAATTAGCCTCCCTTCTAAGGCCTCGTTTGGGAACAGGCTAATTTAGTAACTTTTTGGCTATTTGGCTAAAATATGAGCTAAAAAAAACTAGTATGTGTAGACACTCTATTTTTGACCGTCCTCAAGACTTGGACATCACCGCTCGAACACTCGGTGATTACTCGTGTTTGTGTTTCGTTTTGAGTTCTCAGAGGTCTCGGCTGCGCGTCTTGCCTTAGGATCTCTCAACTCGACTATTCTGTGTTTGGTTTTGCACCAAACACTTGTGTTTTTGCTTCTGAGAGTAGAAAGTAGCTTGTTAGCTACCCCTGGCACCTACCGGCCTTGGTTTGAGGCCACCAGCCATGGTTTGAGGCTACTGGCCATTGGTGAATTATACCATTGGCCGGTCGGCATTCAGTATGGCCAGTCGGCATTCAGTATGGCCGGCCGGCCATCTGTTTGGCCGGTGACCTCCTTTTCTGGCCGGTAGCACCTTTTTACTTTTTTCAGGCATGGTGCATGCCAGCTGTGGCAGCTGGAATGCACCAAACCTGTCCCGGGGCATACAGGTAGCTGTTTTGCCCTTTTTGCACCCTTTTGGTCAAAGCTTTTTGAGGAAGCTTGACCTTTTGTCAAAGCTTCCTCAAGAAGCTTGCCAGCTGTCCTAACTTCCTCAGGAAGCCTTACACCCTTAGCTTGGCTTTCCTTGTAAGCCTTGACCCTTTTGAGTAGCTTCCCTTAGAAGCTTTGGCCAATTACCTTGCCTATATAAGAGCCCCTCCTCCTCCTTTGTTTGGTTCAGCAAAAAACCAGAGGGATATACATATATACATCTGAGATATACCTTCTCTCTCTATATCTCCCTCTCTCTCATCATTTGTGTGTGTTTTGTGGCCTAAAAGTGTGTTTTGACCTTAGTTTTGCACACAAACACACACTACTACACCATACTTCGAATTTGAGAGGCTTTAAGGGTTTGTTCTTGAGGTTTTGGACTAGTTTTGATCAAAAGAAGAAGGCTGCACTTGCTGTTCATCAAGGGTTCTTCAAGGGTAACTCTTTTACTTTAGATTCCCCAATCTTGCACTAGACTTTTGCCTATCGTGCTCATTGTTTTAGGCTTTGTGTATAACTGAAAAAAGTCTTATATTTGCATGCTTAAGATACTTCATTAAGGTCATTTGGTTGTTTGGGGCCGACCTCCCCTTCTTAGGCCTCTTTTTGTGCTCTTTTGTTAGGCTTTGGTTACTCTTATGTATTGGCTTTCTCACCACTGAAATCCAGTGGATTTTCAGTGGTGAAGAAGAGGTTTTGAAGTTTTTCTTAGGGGAGGGACACCCTTCTCCCTTGGTCTCTCTTTTGTTTGCATATTTGGCTCAATATGGTAGCATGCATGCCTAGTCTTGTTTGGCTTTATTTCAGAGCTTATTTGGTGCTGATTTAGCATGTATTGTCTCTGCCTCATGTTGGTTTTTTGGCCTTTTGCATGTATAATACACTTGCTTTGAAATCCCATCATTTGGCTTAAAGTGTGTCATGTTGTAGCATGTCATTTGAGCATGTTTTTGGCTTGGTCCTAAAAAGGTTTTAGCATTATTTTTCCATGCTTAAAGTCTGTTGGTTACTGATTTGGTCATGCTTGACATGTTTGATGTGGTTGCTATGCATTTTGGCTTGTGAGCCCAAAGTGTGTGAGTCATAAACATGCCCTAGTTGGCCTATTTCAATGAGTTGGAGTCATTTGCCATGTCATTTCAGTCCCCAAACCATGCTTATATGCCTGCATTCATCACCTCTTTCATGTTTTGAAGATGCGTCCTTTTATGCCTTGAAATGAGCATTGTGCATGCCTAAGTGTTTAAGCCTTTGGGGCTGCCATATCAGAGGGTTTTAGGACTTATTTCAATGCATCTGAACTCTGTTTTTGGTTGTATAGCTCATGCCATGTTGGCTTGGGGTAGTGGTAGTAGAATACTCTTTGGTTATGCCTTAATCTTGGGCCTATTGGTGTGTATGCTTACATGAGTATTTGTTCATCATTTTAGGCATCTTTTGTCATTGTTTTGGGAGTGGGTTGAGGTCTGCCCTTTGTGTCTTAGGTCCACCATTGCATGATCATGTTGCATTGGTTTCATGTTTGCATTGTATCATACTTGCATGCTTGCATATTATTAGCTAGTTGCATTTCATGTCTTAGCTTACATGTTTGATTGCATTTCATTGCATCTTACATGCCTAGCATTGTACATTTGCATGTTTAGCTTGCATCACATTTGGCATGTTTGCATCTTAGCCTCATGTTGCATCTTTGAGCCAAGTTTGTATACATACATTGCATTGTTTGGTTTGGGGTGTCAAACCAAACTTGAGGGGTGAGGAGTGTTCGTACTCCAAGTGACGAAACACATCTCAACCCTCGGTAGCCAATGCCCTTGACTTCAATATGATAGGGTGTTGGCACTCATCTCTTTTGTTGCATTCATTTACATTGATTGGCAAACTTGGCCTCTTAGGCCATCAC